AAAATACAAGTGTATAGCTTTGCACAGCAAGGAATTCTGGCAGGTGTCATCTAGGTGCCCAATATTTAGATCTCTTGTAGAAAATTTAGTACAATGTTAAGAGATTACTGGAAAGAACTAGTGTGCTGAAGTTTACTAGAACAGATTTTACATTGCAATATTAATAGAGCAAAATGGTTGGTTGTGTTACTCCCTGGTCTGTACAGTGTTTGCAGGAAATTCAAGTCTGAATCTGTTCTATGTAACATTTTAATGCATCTCTGTATAATGCATAAACCATGACCTCCAGCTTTAAGTGTCCTTCTAAATTTGGGATTATAGAGTTAGAATGTTATAGGCCTCAAGAGATATATATATATATATATATATATATATATATATATATATCTCCACTCACTCCATGCTCTAACTCAAAATAAATGCCACAAATAATGGTTGTGTACACAAAAAAAAAAAAAAACACACACTATACTGGCAGTGCAAGTACACTAACTTTTGTTCATTATTTTAAAATGAACATGTCCGGCTTTGTGATCATTTGCTGAACTGACAAGTCCATAAAAACACATCTTTACATTTGATATATGATGTGATATGCAATCTACTAAAATGATAAGGGCTTTATTTATTACTAATACAGAAACTCAATGCACAGTGGTCAATGACACACTTTAAGTTGAGAGACACAGGCTTTAGTTGAACCATCTTTCCCCGAAAATAGGACCAGGTCTTATATTAATAAATCTCTCGCTCTCTCTCTCTTCCAAACATAGACCAGTTCAATAGTGCATGGAATCCCGTGGGTAAATGTTCGGGGAAACGTCCCAGAACAGATCAGTTTACTTGCAAATGGAATCTCGTGAATCCATGTTTGGGGAAACTTCCCTGAACATAGATTAGCGAACTAGCAACTAGGGCTTATATTACGAGCATCCCCCAAAAATAAGCTAGGGCATGCCATTTTAGCAGGGCTCCATAGGGAGTTACTATAGCAACCACAGTGCATGTGCTTTGGTTGCTATGCTTGGGATAGCAGATGGACAGTCAGGTCTTTTCTGCACTCCCTTATGAATTCTTTGACAGGTGGGAGAAAGCGAATGTAAAGCTATAGTTTACAGAATGTCTAGCACCCTATAAAAACATCTAAAGGCAGTTTCAGCATTCATGGTTTTCATTTACTCAATAATACACAGCATGCTTCATAGAAGTCACAAAACTACTAGTGTAAGCGAGGACTTTGCTGCTGCAAACGACTGCAGCCAATATACTACTATAAGGGAGTTTTCCACCATTAATCCATGAAAAAAAAACACAAAAAAAAAAAAAAAAAACACCACACTAATGGCTATTCACAAGGCGTGTACATTTTACCAGTGATGCTACCAATATGTGCCAAGGTAAAAATATTTTAAACCCTGCTGCAATGGTAACTGAAGAAAAAAAAAAAAAAAAAGTACAACTCAATTATTGGAGAGAGCAATAAAAAAGGGTTTTGTTTAACAAATACCAGTTGGAAACATTGCCGCAAAACCTTACACACCTTTTATATTGTATTATTCTCTTGGTCGAACACAATGAAAAACACCAGCTTGCTTCATAGCTTCGTATTCCTTTGTGGCATCAAAGTTCTTGTAATAATCTGCATATGCTCTCTTCCTTGGCTCTGCAACACCAAACTGAAACAAGCAGTATAAAAAGATTAGTGCACAAATAGACTGGTAGTGATGTATGACTCTTTTCTAAGAACAAAGATGAACTAGACAGGTAGCATGTGGCCACAATCAAAATATACACATGAAATACAACCAAAGTTATGACAGTTAAGTTGTCTCAATTTACTTGGAAAATTAAACCATTTTAGGATGATGCAGAAGTGTTCACAGTTATAGTGAGTTTGTAGGTTGGAATTAGGATCAATACACAAACTATGCATGTGCAAGTAAGCACTGACAGCCAAGATTTAGAACGGCATTCATACAGGAGAGGTAAATAAATAGTGTCATTACCTTGTACAAAGCTACAACTCCTAGAGAGACAGCAAAGGCGCCGAAGATGTGAAATCGGAGGCGTTTACCCAGAAGGCCTCTCATTTGAGGTTTAGCTAGCAGAGTTGATGACATGTTGAGTTTTCTGTGGGCCTGAAAAAAACATTACTGTTAGCTCAATGCAAACACAAAAGGTGCATCATGACAAATAGAAGCAAGGCAAACACGGCACTGAAACCCACTCTGTAGAGAGATGCTTTTGACCCTAACAAATATAGAGAAACAACCAACAGTGTCAATGAGCAGTGTACGTTAAGGTTTTAAATACCTACTGATGTAAAGACTGGAACGCAGCCAACCACAGTTAGATTTTTTTTTTTTTTTTTTTTAAACTAATCACACTACAGTATTAGGTTTCCAATAAGTTCGTAACCAATGGTTATTGTACATAAGCCACCATGAGACATATAGTAAAGCTAGATAAAGTTGAATGGGAAGCAAACATTTACAGCTATAGAGTGATAAAACTGGCACAGCTGTAAAGTTAGCCCGACACCATAGCTAGTTTACTTTACCGGTGCCCAGAGGGTTCCTTTAACCTGTCACTTCCTAGTAAACCTTGATGTAAACTCCTACGGCAGTAAATAAATCATTCATATCGCCATTGCTGAAGGGTCTGGGTATTACACTAAACCTAACACCTATCTTCTGTTGCTGCCCTCTGTGATGCAAATGGCCTGCTTGGGAACTTAATCACAGTTGTGTTTAAAAGCAGACATACTCCAAGGAATCCATGTATAAAATGGAATAATGAGGTAAAAAGCAGTTCGCTGTTGAATTAAATTGCATATGCCCACCCAAAATCCATTGCAGGACTTTCTTATTTTGAATTAGAGCATGAAGTAACTCCCCATTGTTAAAAACGCAAGTTTATATAATCAATGGGGAGCTACTGATTGGCTTAGAGCATCATCTGACCGTTCTAGACAATCAGAGGTACACCTGCCTGGCAGCACTCCGCGCTTCCTGTAAGGGAGATTTAGAAGCCAGATGCCACCTGCGGGACCTAGAGATCGATGCTGGGAATCAACTTTTGGGGTTAAACTAGTCGAGAACGAGTTAACCCCTTAAGGAAGGGCTTGACAAATATGTTTGGAATCTGGGAGCCAACTAAAAAAGTTAGGAGCTAGTCATTTTCAACAAGCAAAATGCAATTCTTAAAAAGGGACACTAGTGTCACCGGAACTATTCGAGATTCAACCTCATTGCAGACCGGTCAAAACTTCCCTGTGATAGTGATCCAAAACTACCAAACGGACCTGGGTGGTTTTTGCATATTTTGATCACCGATATCCCAGCTATCCAGGGATATGACTTGTGGTGTTTCCCTGTATTTTGGGGGTACTTTTGGGGTGTTTAAAAATGGTTATACTTTACTGTTCCTGGAGATAATTGCGTTTCTACAGTTCCTGACTATCTGTAAGGCACAGAGGAGGAGCTTACTGGCTGTATAAATCTGATGCCTGTGCTTCCATTAAAAAAAAAAAAAAAAAAAAGTCTTCTCCCAGCATTAAGCCTTGGCTCATGTGTGGGGGTGGTTATGGAACAACTGATATTTTGCCTTTGGATTTATTTGCGTTGTGTATGAGGAAAATGGCATTTGTGGCAGTGATACCCTGGCAGACCGCCACACCATGGGTTTAGGAACATTCTCCTACACGGTGCATGTGTCAACCCATTGAGAGCCTATAACTGAATAATTCCATAATAAGACATCTTTAAACAATTGATATCAAAATCCAATTCCCCAATGACTTCACAGTGATACAGCCGCAAATACTAAATAAGTTGTATAATCCATACTGTCCGTGGGTCTTCAAGGACAAGATGACACTTCCTTTTCATAGCTTCAGAAAATGCCCCTGTGTTACCAGGGTGAATAATGCAGATGAGGGCCTATCTGGACACAGTCAGAAACAGAGGTTTCTTTTTGGAGCCATACACAGACCACGAGACAAATTAAAAATAAAAGGATTGTCAAGGACATTGGAGATTTGTGGCCCCTATAAATCAAATAGGAAGAATGGCCACCACTTCTGTGTTTCTGATTAAGCCACGTTGGCCTATAATTTAGTAACTGAACATAAGAAACAAGAATGACAGGGAGAGAAAACATGAAGTGCAGGCCCAGATCTTCCTTCACTCTCCGGCTTCCTACAGCCATGACCCCCAATACACAGAGTGACAGGGAGATCCTAATAATGACTCCCAATACACAGTGTGACAGGGAGATCCTAATAATGACCCCCAATACACAGAGTGACAGGGAGATCCTAATAATGACCCCCCCAATACACAGAGTGACAGGGAGATCCTAATAATGACCCCCCCAATACACAGAGTGACAGGGAGATCCTAATAATGACCCCCCCCAATACACAGAGTGACAGGGAGATCCCATGTACCATCCCACCCCCATCACACAGAGTGACAGGAGATCCCACAATGACCCCCAATACACAGAGTGACAGGGAGATCCCACAATGACCCCCAACACACAGAGTGACAGGGAGTATCCCACACGACCCCCAACAGAGTGACAGAGATCCCACAATGACCCCCACACACAGAGCGATGGGTATCCACACAATGACCCCCTAACACACAGAGTGACAGGAGATCCCACACGACCCCCAATACACAGAGTGACAGGAAGATCCCACAATGACCCCCTAATACACAGAGTGACAGGAAGATCCCCACACGACCCCCAATACACACAGAGGACAGGAAGATCCCACACGACCTCCACACAGAGTGACAGGAAGATCCCACAATGACCCCCAATACACAGAGTGACAGGAAGATCCCACAATGACCCCCAACACACACACAGAGAGTGACAGGAAGATCCTAATAATGCACCCCCAATACACAGAGTGACAGGAAGATCCCACAATGACCCCCAACACACACAGAGACAGGAAGATCCCAATAATGACCCCCAACACACAGAGTGACAGGAAGATCCTAATAATGACCCCCAATACACAGAGTGATACAGGAAGATCCTAATAATGACCCCCAATACACACAGAGTGACAGGAAGATTCCCACAATGACCTCCCCAATACACACAGGAAAGGACAGGAAGATCCCAATAATGACCCCCAATACACAGAGTGACAGGAAGATCCCACAATGACCCCCCAATAAGGACAGAGTGACAGGGAGATCCCAATAATGACCCCCAAATACACAGGTGAACCCCAATACACAGAGTGACAGGGAGGTCCCACACGACCCCCCCCCAATACACAGAGTGAGAGGCCCGGGGTGGGGCAGTTCAGGCCCAGGTCCTCCCCCCTCTCTCCCGGGTTGCTGTAGCTGTGACCGGCTGACCGCGGAGGGGGAGGCAGTTCCCGCAGGGCCCGGTAGATACACAGGCCGCCCGGGCTCTCACCTCTCTCGCTGCCGCAATGTCCTTCTTCAATGAGACCTTCCTCCTCGCGCACGCCGGAAAAAGAACTGCCGGCCCCGCCCCTTCCGGCCGCAGACGGGGAGCGAGCAGGGTCAGAAAGGACAGTGTGTGCGCGCAAAAGCGCGCGCCGGGGGTGTCACGTGATGCGTACGTGCTGTGCGTGTGATTGAGACACGCGGAGAGTGTTCATTAAAGGGACAGTACAGCGAGTCCTGCCCCGGGCAGCGCTAGCAGATATGGCTCCAATGGCTGCCCAACTCCATCTGAGTATCACAGTGTAATCCAATAGGAGGGATCTGCAAACAGTGTAACACCTTAGCCCTGAGTTCAGCTCTGGTGAAAAGCACAGTTTACAATGTGGGCATATAGCACAGTATACCAAACCTCCTAACCAGGGCTGCCAGCACAGCTATTACTGCACCATACAAAATCCCCACCACCCCCTGCTGCCCAATGCACACAGCACACTTAAATACACACACAGATAGATACAAACGCATTCACACAGATAGATACAAACGCATTCACACAGATACATACAGACACATTCACCCGATACCTATAGACACATTCACACAGATACCTACAGACACATTCACACAGATATACACAGACACATTCACCCGATACCTACAGACGCATTCACACAGATACCTACAGACACATTCACACAGATATATACAGACACATTCACACAGATAGATACAGACGCATTCACACAGATACCTACAGACACATTCACACAGATATATACAGACACATTCACACAGATACCTACAGATACATTCACACAGATATACACAGACACATTCACCCGATACCTACAGACGCATTCACACAGATACCTACAGACACATTCACACAGATATATACAGACACATTCACACAGATATATACAGACACACACACACACCCATTCACACAGATATATACAGACACACACACCCATTCACACAGATGTATACAGACACATTCACAAATCCATTCACACAGATATATACAGACACATACATACAGACACACCCACACCCATTCACACAGATATATACAGAACTATTCAAACAGATACATACAGACACACGCACACCCATTCACACAGATATATACAAACACATTCACACAGATACATACAGAACTATTCACACAGATACATACAGAACTATTCAAACAGATACATACAGACACATTCACACAGATATACACAGACACATTCACCCAATACATACAGACGCATTCACACAGATAGATACAGACGCATTCACCCGATACCTACAGACACATTCACACAGATAGATACAGACACATTCACACAGATACCTACAGACACATTCACACAGATATATACAGACACATTCACCCGATACATACAGACACATTCATACAGATAGATACAGACGCATTCACACAGATAGATACAGACACATTCATCCGATACATACAGACTCATTCACACAGATACCTACAGACACATTGACCCGATACATACAGACGCATTCACACAGATACCTACAGACACATTCACCCGATACATACAGACACATTCACACCGATACCTACAGACACATTCACCTGATACATACAGACGCATTCACACAGATACCTACAGACACATTCACCCGATACATACAGACACATTCACACAGATACCTACAGATGCATTCACACAGATAGATACAGACGCATTCACACAGATACCTACAGACACATTCACACATATAGATACAGACGTATTCACACAGATACCTACAGACATATCACACAGATATATACAGACACATTCACACAGATATATACAGACACATTCACCCAATACATACAGACGCATTCACACAGATACCTACAGACACATTCACACAGATACCTACAGATGCATTCACACAGATATATACAGACGCATTCACACAGATATATACAGACGCATTCACACAGATACCTACAGACACATTCACACAGATATATACAGACACATTCACACAGATACCTACAGACGCATTCACACAGATATATACAGACATATTTACACAGATATATACAGACACATTCACACAGATATATACAGACACACACACACACCCATTCACACAGATATATACAGACACACACACATCACACAGATGTATACAGACACATTCACAAACCCATTCACACAGATATATACAGACACATTCACACAGATACATACAGAACTATTCAAATAGATACATAGAGACACACCCACACCCATTCACACAGATATATACAGAACTATTCAAATAGATACATACAGACACGCACACCCATTCACACAGATATATACAAACATATTCACACAGATACATACAGAACTACTCACACAGATACATACAGAACTATTCAAACAGATACATACAGACACATGCACACCCATTCATACAGATACATACATACACTTTCACACAGATACATACAGAACTACTCACACAGATACATACAGAACTATTCAAACAGATACATACAGACAAACGCACACCCATTCATACAGATACATACATACACTTTCACACAGATACCTACAGACACAAGCCACACACACATTCACACAGCCATTCATACAGATATATACAGACATATTCACACAGATACATACAGACACAGGCACACAGCCATTTATACAGATATATACAGACCCATTTACACAAATACATACAGACACACACACCCATTTACACAGATACACATTCCAAACACTCATGCATTGCCACAGATACACATTTTGCACATATAGACACACACTGCCACAAACACACATGGTTACACATATACACAAACATACATACTGCTATACACATATAATATAATTGTCAGGATTATAGTTGATCCAGCACACAGAATAGTATAACACCTAGGACTAAGGATAATGTATAACCGGGCCTTACAATGGCCGGACCTAACGTACCGCAGAATAGTCAAAATACTTGTCAGGGACACAGAATGAGACACAACAATGAGGAAAGCCAGAAGTCAAGAAATCAGGGAAGCCAAATACCAGAAAAACGCAAGCAGGAAAACACTCTCAGATAACCAGCTAGTGGAAACCACGACAGGGCACTGACAAAAAGGTAATTTGGGTTTAAATAACCCTACTTAGGCTGTAATTGGCTGTCTCTGACCCCAAAATGTGCGTGTGCGTCTATGACGTGACGCCGCACGCAAATCGGTGCCATTTTTGATGTGGGCGAAGGTAAGTTTCTTATAAAAGTCCGATCCGCAGTGGCTGGCGTTCCTAAGAACATCGCACCCGCTGGGGACCGGAACAGAGGGAAACCGGGTAGCTGCCCACCGAGCCCAAGGTAAGTTTGAAACATCTATGAAGGCGTGGCTGCTATGTTTGAGTGCAGCCATACCAGCAGAGATATCGGGAGCCGTGACAATAATATACAAACAGCCATCGAAACACCCACGCTATTAATATGGCTAGATAGGGTGACAGAAATTGAAGCATCTGACACCACGGTGACCTAGCTACTTGGTTTGATGGAAACACATACCAGGCCGTGGTACCTGTGGCAGGAATACCTAGCCAACAACCAGAGAGCAGACTGGGCAGATAACCTACCACAGTTAGTACAGGAGAAAACATTGGGGATGCCAGTGTTGCTCTAAGGCATTGATTACCAGGAACTAGTTGTGCTATGGCATGGTACCCCCCTCACCCAATTCTCTTATCCTATACCCAACCCTTCTTTGAGCTCTTTTCCTTAAGTCCTCTTTGCACATAATTTTTCTCCTCTTGCTCCTTGAAACCACAAAACTCCACAATGTAGAATGCTAATGTAGTTGTGTACACAGTTTTATAAACGGCAGCCATCCCAGGGGCCCTTAAATAGATTTTTTTTTAGATTCCTGTATATAGGTACTCTTACAGTTTGGGAGTTTCAACATGGTTAAAGCAATATACGTCTGTAATTGTCAGATGGAGTTCTTTGTTTAAATAGTGAATATAATGTGTGCAAATATACGGGATACGCTTATGCGCAATTGCATGAGGATGAGGCAGTGCTGTGATTGTGGTGGAGCCTCTCACTGTTTATTGTCTCTGGTATTTGGTGAGTTTGTGTCTGTCTGACATTTTGCTGTTTCTTTGTACACAATAACTTTAAATAAAGGTTGACAAAAAATATGTACTCAAACAGATAATGCTATATACAAACACACAGATACATACTGTTGCACACATCAAAGAACTGGCACACGCAGATACAAATACAACTGTACATTGAGTATATTATACCCAGCTAAGTTCTGCATTAGCCACCCTCCTCTTTACCAACCTTTGTGCTGGCTGGGTGAGGGTGGCTTTCCTGTGGTCCAGTGGGCCAGGGAGCTGTTCCAAGGCTGTAGGTCTTTCCATTCACTCATGCGGGGCATCCTTCTCATGCCTGTATGAAATAATCTGACATCATTTTTTTCATGTGCAGTTATGGGAAAAAGAAAGTACACCCTCTTTGAAATCTATGGTTTTACATATCAGGACATAATAACAATCACCTGTTGTATGTAACTATGTTCCTTAGCAGGTCTTAAAATTAGGTAAATACAACATCATATGAACAACAACACATGCCATATTGCACCGTGTCATAATTTATTTAACAAAAATAAAGCTAAAATGGAGAAGTCATGTGTAAAAAACTAAGTACACCCTTACTGCTTCCATCGGAATTATAGGAAGTAGCAGACAGGTGCTGCTAATCAAATACCCTTGATTAATTGATCATCAAGTGTGACCACCTCTATAAAAGCTGAAGTGAGAGCTGATACACCCCAAGGTCAGGCCACACACACAAAAA